GGAGCGGCGTTAGCCCCGGCGGGAGCGGCGTTATCCCGCCGGGCGGGCGCGGGGACTCTCTTCCGCGAGTCTCTCGCACCGAGGCGACAGCCACGCGAAAATAGCCATCTCGTTGCCACCGCAGTTTACGAGCGCCTTATGCACAGTCCTGCAAGGAGCTGTTTGTCTCTTGCTGCAGATTTTGGCTCTTAAGCCCAAGCTGTGACTTTACGAAGTTGCTCGGTTTTGTTTGGTTTTTATTTTCTCTTCTGTTAAACTGCTGTCGGGTCTCTCGGCTGAGCTGCGGTAGTGGTTTGAGTGCGGAGAGCGCAGCGTGACTGACGGAGGACTTAGTGGGGTTTTCAGGATGTGTTTAGTGAGACTCTGTTTAAAAACGTGTGGAGACCTAAAATAAGGCAGACTTCGTCCAGTTAAAATAACTAGCTGTAGTGACCGTTGCATTGTTTAAGCTGAAATACCAGACCTTCATTTCTCTCTCTGAAAGCCATCTAGACTAGTTGAAGTTCATAAAAAATTTCCTAAACTTCAAATAGAAAAAAATAATTAAAATAGAAGGATCTTTTTATGATTTTGTGCCTGAAATTTTTTTATCTTAACTAATTCATGGTTTTATTTTGATTTTACATTCAGTCAGGTATGTGGTATTATAAAATTCTGTCTGATTCATATAAAACGTTAAGGTTTTGAAACCCTGAGTTGAGAGACCCTTTAGATCAATAATTTCTTAGATATTTATGCTGCTGTTATGTTGTATCTTGGCCGAAATATGTTGATGGCTTAAGAATGTTATGCTTTCAGGGTAATTCAGTGTTTTTAGCTTCGCCTGTATGAGGTGTTAGTCAATATCAGTCAGGCTTGAAAACAAGAGGATTCCTTTTTTTTAATCTTCCTTTCCCTCTCTCTCCCCACTCAGTGATGAAACTGAAAATCTGTAGGTTTAGGAGGTGGTGGTGAGGCATATCCTTCCAGAGGCTTTTAAGGAGCTCTAGAATGCATCAAGTACCATCTCTCTTACAGTCCCTGGCATGTGCTGGTGACAGGGCAGCTGCTCCAGACTAGTGGTTCCCAGCTCGCAGATTCCCAAGTCTAATAGGATATCCAAGCAGACAGAGTTGACCACTGTCCAGCACAGCGTAAGGTCAGTCAGTGTGTGCCTCTGTCACAGCTGCAGAAGTGTTGAGAGCAGGAGAAGCTCTTCATTCACAGTTCTGGTGTTGGACCTGGTAGTAGTGGTCGCATGACAGACAGCTCTCCTGGGATGGGATTGGGCTGGGAGGGTTAGACCTGCTGCTAAATGAAACATTAGCATGTCCTGCTTAAGAGAACATGTTTGGAAATGTATTCTCTGAATGCCTGGAAAGCCTTGCATGCTGCACACAGTGATAGTAAAACAGCAGGCTCCAGTGCAAACTGGGATGTTGCCCAGAGAAAACAGATAACGTTAACTCTGCCTTCAGTGACATGGTGGTACCCCTTTCCACAGGAGCTGGTTCTAGCCCATCACTAGTTCTCATAGACACTGCAGCAGTCTAAAAATGCTTGGAAGTGTACTATTATTTCTAAGGGATATAGAGGAAAGAAATAGCAATGCTGAGTAAAATAATGTTGACAGGTGAGTGTAAGGCTGCATATGTATTTTTAGTGTGATAATCTCCTTTCTTCACTTAAGCTGCATTTCTGTTTCACTCTCCATATTAAAAAAGGACTTCCAACTCATTTTGTACCTGAGTTCCAAGGGTGTAGCACTCACTCTGCAGCTAACAGAAGTCCTGCATCTGAAAAGGAATAACCTTGTGCCACCAGAGAGGTGAAAGGCCCCCTGGCTAGGGAGCAGATTAGCCGGAAAGGAGCTAAGTAAGGACAAGTAAGTTGAACATGAGTCAGCAGTACTTGCAGCAGAGGAGGCCAACATCATCCAAGTATGTAGCCAGCAGACCAAGGGAGATGCTGCTTCTTCTCAGACTGCTGAGATGCACCTGAAGGACTCTGTCAAGTTCTGAGCTCCCCAGGACAGAAAAGACATGGATATACTGGAGAGAAGGGTTATGAAAACAGATAGGGAGTTGAGAGTTGGGTTTGCTTTGCCATGAGAGGAGAATAATTGGGGGTGATCATTGTGATATCCCTGTATGCTTAATGGGAGGGTGTAGAGAGGGCAGAGTGAAAGGATGAGAGTGGCAGTGGGTGCAAGATGAGACACAGGGAAATCTGAATACATGCACTGACAGGGTAGATTTCTGTGAAGCCTGATGTAGTTGGTCCTGCCTTGAGAGGGCATTTCACTTGTAAGTTCTGAGGATCCCTTATAACCTAACTTACTCTGTGACTGTAATAAGAGAGCTACTGGTTGTTATTTCATGAATAACCTCATTAGAAGACAGAAAGAGGTGACAGGTGAATATGATTTTGAAAACTAATTCCTAAATCAAGTTTAGTTTAATACTTCTCTTACAGTTGAGCTAATGTATCTCAATATAGGCTATTTATTTATATGTATGTGAAGCAAAATACAGAAGATTTGTAAGTAGAGCTGATTGCTAAAGTTTAATGGCATATATGCACACTTGGTCAAAGGATCATGATGCTCAGGCAAAAACGTAAATTTATGGCTATCCATTAATAGTAAGGGTTAAAATGCAGTTCTTTCAGCGCTCTTTTTCTCCAGGCTTGGTTAGCAGTATAAGGTCTTTCAGAGCATTGTCAATCCATTTTCTAAAGAAAACAGTACTACTATTCTGCCTTTCCAAATGTGCTTTCCTTAGTGCATTTGCTAGTAGATTATTTTTATAATGGTAAAAAAACAAAGTAGAGCCTAAAAGGTGCAATTTCACCCCTCAATGAAGTTAAATACAGTTGAAGCAAGCGGTCTCAGGGTTTCATATGTGGTCTTTAACCAAAATCTTTGGAGCTAACCCCACTGAGATGCACACACTCAGACTTTTGTCTAGGCTTAACTTGATGACATTGATTTTTATTTTTTTCCTAATTGTTGGTATTTCAGTTTATCACAAGTGGAATTGATTACAAATATAAATATAAATTCCAATATAAAGCTAGGTGTATGGTGCTAATCCATTAGAAATCATTAGGTTTTACATCACGGTTTTCAGCAAAGAGAAGCAATTCAAGCTCAAAATTTTTATTGAAGAAATAGTAAAACAAAAAATAGTAAAATAGTTTTGTGTCAGAAAATCCATTTCGATGAAATGATTGTGAATTTTTGATCTGTAAATGTAGCTCTGGTTCTGCACAAATTTTAGATATTACAGGTATTTTGGAAAAACTTCAACTACAGAAACATATTACAGCTTTCTTAGTTCTTAGTGATGGAGAGGGAAATAATTCTGGGAATTCTTACATCAACATTGGGTTGAACTACTGTCGTACTGATTTCTAAACACACAAACTGGTATGTCCACTAAGATCCTCAAGAACTGAGTAGCTGATTTAATACTATGCTGTATTGTATTAAATGTTGTGATTTTTTCTTACAGGGTAAAATTCTCTATAAAGTACGATGGAAAGGATATACCTCTGATGATGACACCTGGGAACCAGAAGTTCATTTGGAAGACTGCAAAGAAGTGCTGCTTGAATTCAGGAAAAAGGTTTTGGACAATAAGCCTAAACCTGTTAAAAAAGACTTACAGGTGTGTTTCACCTTTCAGCATCTTATGCTGAAGATGTATTCACTATCTACACTCTACTCATGGGAGGAGGGGAAGGGAAGACATGTGGAGTGTGGAATTAAGAAGACTTAAGGAATCTCTTCTATCTAAAATTGTTTTGTTTCTTGTGAAACTGAATATTGTTGCTGTTCTCTGGTAGGGATGTTTTTGTTAACTGAGGAGTTTGCTTGTATACTCTGAATCCATCTAAACTTTATTTCCCTTTTTAATGGAACTGTATAAATGATGTGTGGTCAGTTTAGCTTGGTGAGTGTGGAATTAAGAAGACTTAAGGAATCTCTTCTATCTAAAATTGTTTTGTTTCTTGTGAAACTGAATATTGTTGCTGTTCTCTGGTAGGGATGTTTTTGTTAACTGAGGAGTTTGCTTGTATACTCTGAATCCATCTAAACTTTATTTCCCTTTTTAATGGAACTGTATAAATGATGTGTGGTCAGTTTAGCTTGGTTTTGGCAACATCCCCCCTTTCTTTCCCTACCCACATGCATACTGTCTTGTCAGTGAAGCTGAGCACACTGCTCCAGTCACCCTCCCAGCTTTCTGTAGCAGATCAATTAAGTTTGTTGAGAGAGGAAAACAAAAAGATGAGTTGCAGGTAGGCAACATGTGGCTTTTTCTTCTCTTCTGCTCAGTCAGTTTGAAAAAGAAGTGTATGGATCTTTTTTTGAAAACTGTTTCCCTGCTTCTGGGATACCTATAGGTAAATTTTACAAAGCGAGATCAATTATTTTTGATGCAAAATAGCTCACATTTATATCTGTTCTGGAATCTGGTTGTTGGATGCACAACTGGTTTGTGTATTGATTCTCATCCAGGCAGTTAGTAATGCAGTTTAGGTAAGTAAGCTAGGATTGTATTTACAAATTTTACAATTTGGGGATGTGGAATGATCTTGGCAGTGATCAAAACATCAAAGTGCTTAAAAATTTGCTTTTCCCAAGCACCACCACCACCTTTTTGTATACTTTGCGCCAAAGTGATACAGTTTATTGGAGAAAGAAATATTTTCTTTTTTTTTTTGTTTGCCTTTTAGAAACTGTCTCTAGATGATGATATCTTTGAAGCAGAATCTGACAGTGACTGGCAGAGTGAAACAAAAGATGATATTTCACCAAAGAAGAAAAAGAAGTCAAAAGATGGAGAGGGTGATGCAAAGAAGAAAAAGTCTAAGTCTGCAAAACCCAAAGAAAAACCCAGAACAGAGTGTGAAAATTCCTCAGATACTTCGGTTTTAGATACAAAACCAAAAAAAAGGATTTCAGAAACCAAGAATGATTCAAATGACCCAAAGAAGCAAAGGAAAGAATATACTAAAGAAATTAAGAAAAAGAAGGGAGAAGTTAAAGATTTAAAAATAAAATCTAAAGAAGATGCTAAAGAAAATAAAAAGTCACGAAAGGAGAAGCATGCAGATGTTCAGTTTGACTCAGAAGGAAGTACTTCAAATGATACGTTTTCTCCAGGAGCTGATAATGACAGTTCAGACTTAAATTTTGAAAATAAAGATGGGAAGCAAAAGGTAGTTAGTGGAGAAGAGAGATTGGAACAGAAAATTGATGAAGAAGATGCCATTGCTGATAGGCATCTTGATGGATCGGCAAGTAATGAAGATGATAGTATTGATGTTAAGGTTAAAAGACAGAAGAAAATGCAGAAAGCAGAAGACTATACAGAGGGAGGTGAAAAGATGGAAACTCAAGATACGAATTCAGAGAAGAAAAGCTTGCACAAAAAGCAAACAGGTGAAGAAAAAGTAAAGATGGTATCAGGAGAGTTGGAGAAGGTGTCGCCTGTTCCTTCACCTGTGCAGAAGGGTTTGAGAGTGAGCACTGACGAAAGGGTGTGCAAGGCCACTGATTCACCTGGGGAGGTAAGCAGTGTTAAGGTATCAGTGTGGGGACTGGGAATTAAATCAGTCATCTTTGAGGTACAGATGCCTCGAACAGTGACTGACTGTGATGGCAAAGAGGAAAATACAAATTGGAAAGGTACAGAGCTGCATGAAACTAAAAGAAACACTGCACAATGTATAATAGAGGTTGGAGAATTTCTGGATTCTGAGTACTATAAAGGGGGGAATGCTTTAGGAGAGAAGGGCATATTTAAATGTGAAAGGATAAATTTCTCATGTTTGTTATGTATTCTTAGAAAGAAATTTACTATTCTTTCGAAGCTTGCTGTTGTTTTTAGCTGTGTTCCTGCCCACCACCTGCAGTTTCCTCAGTTTGTCTTTTTTCTACTTGTGTGGCAAGGGTGACAGGCTTGGACAACTGTCCATCATCTCCCACAGACACCAGCCATCCCATTGTAACTTCTATGTGGCAGCACCTACCTGAGAACTGCAATGCTCAAATCACTCCTAAACCCAAGTCTCCCAGATAATTGTGCAGCAGTCTTGTCTTGTTAGAATTTCAGAAGTGGTTACAGAAAGTGCTTAGTTTCATGATATGGTTTCATATTAATGAGAAATGCTGTACCTGTTGTAAGAAATGAGCTAAGCAAATACTGGAATATTTATATTTCTTTTTTTAATAGCTTAGTGTTTTAAGAAAAGCAGTATTGTAAAGGTAAAAGGAAAAATTTGATGGAAAAAATATTCTGGGAATATAATTTACTTCAGCTGCTTCAGACTGTTCTAGTACAGTTTGCAGTTCATAAAATGTTGGCAGCACAGAGAAACGCTGCTTGGATTTAAGAGGATTGCATGCAAAACACCTTGATACTTACTGGATTATACCCCACTTCTGAGGTCGTAACTCTGTGGTGGAAAGTTTTTTTCGCAGGTTCAGCAATGGTCCTCTGCTTATGGTTGCTGTGTGTATGGAGTAGGTCACCTTAAAAATAAGAAAGTTGATTTTGGGATAGAGAATTATGTGGCATAATCTCAGAGCAGAGCTACACAGAACTGTGGTTTTGCAGGATCTTAGTGGTGAAAGCTCTTGTAAACAAGGCTAAGCAATTCCTGTGAGGCCAGTTTCAGAAGGTTATTTAATTAGCTGGAATGGCATGGCCCTTTGTTACCCAGGTGTTTTACACCTGCTTCAGGGCTATAGCATTCATAAGAGAGAGACATGAGTGATGATAATCAGATAAATCTTTGCAGTTCTGTTTATCAGTGGTATAAGAATCCTGCACCTCAAACACGAATAAATCAACAGCAGGTGAAAGTGGGTTTGCTTGTGGCTCTTCAGCCAGCACTTTCAGGAAGTTGTGTGTATGCGTTGCTCATGGTTATGCTCCAAGCTATCAAGGAAGCAAGCAAGGCCTTCTACTGTTTGCTTTTGTTCAGTCTAGGAGGCTTAAACAATGTTTTCTGTAATGGATTAGATATTCTCCAGAGCAGCTGTGGTCTTACACGGGTGGGATGGGTGGAGACTTCTGGAGGGGTTTTTGTTCACTAAATTGTTGTCCCAAGCAGATTATTGTTTTCAGATAAAGTCCTCGTGTGTTTCAGCTACCTGTCGGTTTATAGCACAGTGTTCTCTGTTTGGAGTCAGTTTGCATGCTAAACCATTCTTCCCATTTGATTTTCCTGCAAACATAAAGGTGTAGGTTGTGCACTTGGTCAGTATTAGAAATCTGGTGTAGAATTGAGGATTACTGATATTAACAGCCCCTCTAGCAAATACCTGGTAATCCCTTTAGTAAATTGCAGGTCTCCTCCTAAATACTGAGCCTCTGTGAGGATTAGCAGCTGTCTGTGTTACTAGTTAATCATGTCGGTGATCAAAAGCTGAGGGTTTGTGGAGGAGAGGGAGGAAAGACGATTAAATGTCTCAGCTCTGCTAATAGGATGCAGTTAATTTTTTTCCCCCTTCTCAATAGCTGGTACAGTGCCGTGTTTGGATTTAGAGTGAGAACAATGTGGATAGCACACTGATGTTTTGGTGTCTGCCGAATTGTGTTTATCCTAAATCAAGAACATTTTCTTTCTTGTGTCTCATGCTCTGCCAGTGAGAAGATAGACAAGAGAAACTGGGAGGGAGCATAGCTGGGACAGGTTGACCTGAACTAGCCAAAGTGATATTCCTCACCAAATTAATCTACTTTAATTGAAGGTAGCATTTAATGATAAACTCAGTCTGTAGTTCTTGTGAGGACTTCTTTTGGGGCAGCTTTTCAGAAAGCCAATGCTATTCCATCTGCCAGGTTAGTGCTGGAGGCTAAAAAAAGCTGTGCCAAGGAGCCTTGTCCTACCTACTCTGCAGTTGAGTTTGCTGTTTGAATGGAAAGAAATGATTACAGGAGGAGAAAGGCAAACTTTGGTAGAGGCAGTTGAATTCCATTTTGGCAAATTTGATTATATGTCTACAACATCTACAACAAATTTCTTCTGCAGTATTGTCTATTGCTAAGCTTGAACTTCTGTGTGGATATGATGAGTTTGGGTGGACTTTCTTGAGCATCTGTTTTTCACAAATTACTGTTACCATAACATCCTGTATGAGTGAATTGGAAAATTTGGAACCTTTTGTGTCCAAATGTCAAGTTTTCTCAGTTGAAGTTCAAGTCAGTGCTATCTTAACTGCTTTGAATATGGTGCTACAAAACTGTTAAATACTGTGAAATAATTACATTCTACTCAGATTCAGTACTAGGAACAAATGAATAGTCTGTAATTTGGAAGGTGTTTTGTTCTGGAAATAACAATTCTCTTAGGGAAGAAGCTTTCACAGACTTGACTCCTGGCTCACCTGCTTAGTTCTGCTCAGAAATGTCCACAAGGCTGATACATACAGGTTTCAGTAGTATTAATTGTAAATATTTTTATTGTTGGGGTGGTAAAAGGAGTTTATTTTCCATTTTTTCTCTACCACTTTAATTTGATCTTTGCTCTCAATATCAGGAGAAAGAAGTAAAGAAAACAGAAATAAAAGAAAAATCTCAAAAAAAAGAGTCTGAAAAGGAAGAAAAAAGCAGAAAAGAACAAAAGGGCCTAAAAAGTAAGTGCTAACTACTTCAAGGAGAGAAGGGAATACCCCTTCAGGGCATTCTCCTCTTATTTCTACAAGGGCAGATATTGTATAGTTTCCTAACACACACCAGAAACAAGGAATTCTGCTTTTATTTTGGGAAGCAAGTCTTCTGTTTAATGGCTTTGTTAATACATGCTTGATGAGAATGTTAATATATGCTTCATGTGTGAAGCATGGAAGCATATAGATGTCTCTGATGCTTTTATAGACAAGTCAAGATTTTGCTGCTTTTCATTCAATACTGACAACTGCTTCTGTGGGTGGCATGGAATAGTGATATTTATTTATTTGAAGGAGTTCCTCCAACTATTGGCTCTTTTCAGAAGTGTTCTGTTGGTACTGTGCATACACACTTTCTGTATTTAGAAAATCTACTAAAGGTTCCCATCAGACAAACTTCTTTCCTCCTACTTTAGCCACAAGGATGAGTTATATTATACTACCCTTAAAATGCCACCGGAACTGGATGATTTGATACATGGAAGAAAAATGTCTAGTTTATATTTCTATTCGTAATAGTATAATGGAGTATTAATGTTACCATTCTTGATCTCAGTAAAACTCTGGATTACATTATTCAGGATAAATTCCCTCACTGCTCTGATGAGAATGAACTGAGGAAAACTAGGTAACTCTGACTTTGATAATCATGAATGTATATGGGAGGAACTATGGTGCTTCAAATAGCTGTTCTTTGACTGAAAGTTGCATAGATGCTTACAGTGCTTAAGAGAAGTAGTAACAAACAGGAGGATTACTTAGTGCTTCTTACACAGCAGTTGTCCTTCATCTGTTCATCACAGATACTGTTTTTTCAAAGTAGTAATTTATGCATCATTCTAAACTACATTGCTTAAAAAGATGATACTGTGTTGGAAGCATCAGAGCTCACACCTGCCAGGGTAGCTGGAGGTGAGCTAGCTCTCCCCAATTCTTGTCTTGCATTGAGCTTGCTCTTATACTTCAGCAGTGATTTCCATATGGAAAGAGAGCAGACCTGTTCCAAATGGCTGCTGGTCACTCACCTACACTTGTTATGTAATAGTCTTCAGTGGTTCAAGTAGTCACTCCTGGTGACTGTCTTAATATTCTTGGCTTTGAGCACATCAGAGTACATTTGACTTGTTTAATGTAGCTTCAGAATAAAAAAGTGAATATTCTGAGAATAACTGCAAAAGAGAAGAATCTTTGCTAGATTATAAATTGATAGAAAAATTAAAAGACAGCTAGGTGTACAAGGGAAGGAGAAGCATAAGAGATGAAACAGACACATGGATTTACATTGCTGCATAAGGTGATTGAGTAGTAGTGGATCTGTGTCAAATGGAGAACTCTGGTGAGCAGTAGAAACAAATGCAGGGGAAGGTTGAGCACTGTCAGTTGATGTTTTCCCAGTTCCTGCTTGAATCATTTAGTGCTCCAGCTCTTGTCTCTGCAGGAGGCTGAAATGATGTTTTCTTTTGAAACTCACTGATAACTTTTCAGTGTGTTTCTGGTATGGCAGTAATGGAGTGTTCACCTCGTATCAATTCAGCCTAATATATTAGAATAAATGATTTCTTTGAAGTGTAGAAGTCTGTTTGCAAGGTGCCTTTGTTGTGTAGAACCATTCCATGTTGACTGCCAGAGTTTATTTGAATGAAAAGTAGTAGTGATGTGTTGAGCTGCTGATCGGTGAAGCAATGGCAAGCAGTGAATGGTTTGGAAATTGACAAGCTGTATATTACTTATTTCACTTTTTTGTTTCTTCCGTGTAATCAAATGCATGATAGATGGCAAGCAACAAGTCCTGAGTTTGGGTATGGACATGCAGTTAGAATGGCTGACACTAGAAGAATTCCAGAAGCATCTTGATGGAGAAGATGAGAATCATATATCACCAGAACCAATATCAAATAGTGAGTATTTACTAGAGGAAAGGGTATTTCTTAGCTGGCATTTCAAAGGGAAACATTTTATAATGCATTGAATTTATTTTCTAGCTCTCCTGAGGGATGCTGTTAAAAGTGGAGATTATATGACAGTGAAAATGGCACTTTCTTCAAATGAGGAATATAATCTGGATCAAGAGGTAATTTTTTCTGCAGTAGAAGTATTGGAGGGGACTGGGAGGGAAGAGCACAAATTGTTATTTGTTTGAAAAGATTTCTCCTCTTGCCTAGTAGCATATTTCCATCTCACCTTGATAAAAAAGGACAAGGTGACAAAAGGGAGTACAGACTTAGTGTCTTCAATATTTGTTATCCACTTCTTCCAAAGAAAGAATGAAGTTCGATAGAAGTAAAGTTTGATAGAAGCATCCCAGTAGCTCAATTTGCAGCCAGTTTGCCCACTGTATTTATCTGAATATTAAATGTGGAACTTGACATGTGAGAAGAAATGATGATACCCATCAGGTCAAGTGGCTAAACTGTGCAAAACATCTATACATGGAAAAAAACTGAATCTAAAAACCCCCCAGACCCTGAATGTTCTGTTTGGCACACTAGGGACCACTTCACTCCATATTAGTTTTCTTCCAGTTCATCATCATCTGTGTTCTTAGTGGGTTCTCTTTCAAGGATCTATTTTCCTGTTAATTAGTACTGTGGTTCCATTTTTGAGTATTAAAATCTCTGTTAGCAGTATTTTCACTGGTGATCATGTGTAGTTGTATTTACATAGCATTTTGAGAACTCTGCATTATGCTAAGACTTGTGTAGCATAGTAGAAAAGATGTCAAGTGACCTACTGAGGAAAGCATGTGTTCTTTGAGTTGTTAGTGTCTTTGTACTTACAGCTATGATAAATCCAAAAGCAGTGTTGTGGTAGCAGCTGACTTGAGCCAGTCATTTTTCTCCAGTGGCTGCTGATTTTATTGTTTTCCACTGTCTTGCTGTTTTCCCCACTCTGAGATACCCTACTACGTTTCTTACTGGTTCATTCTGGTTTTCCTCCTCCTTGTTCTGGGCCTCAGAATGTTACAGAGTTTGCTGCTTGTGGAGCTCAGAGTGTGAGACCTGTGGACAAAAGAAGTGGGAGGTGATAGTTTGTTAGTATCTGGCAGCCGTGTATGTATGAATTCTTCTGCCAAGGAGGGAAATCGTTGTGAAACCTGTTGACACACTTCCAGTTTTTGTTTCACAGCTTTGATTTATCTTAAAGTATTTGGGGTTTTTTTTTTTTTTTTGTTCTTTTTTTAATGGCAATGATTCTTGTTGCAGGATGCAAGTGGGATGACCCTAGTTATGCTTGCTGCTGCTGGTGGACATGATGACCTTCTCCGTGTCCTAATCAGGAAAGGAGCTAAAGTTAATAGCAGACAGAAAAATGGAACAACTGCATTGATACATGCAGCTGAAAAGGTTGGCGTGGTTGTTGTCCTCTTTGTGGTTCTTGGCTCTTTTACTTATGCTTAGAAACAGTACACAATTTTTTCCTGTGAATGATGCCTAAAAAGTAGTTAGCAAGATATAGCAGGGTGACCTTAAATGCATAATTTCAGCAGCTGTGGTTATTGTAGTGTAAATGAGTTCTGAGCATAAAAGCTACCCTGAGTAGAGAATATCATAGGAGGGAAAGTGGAGGCAAAGGATATCTGTGAATATTTGCCTGTCACGGGGGCTGAAGTTCTTGTTAGAATGGCTTGTTACGATCTCTGGCTACACAGGATCCAAACTGGGGAGACTTAGGGAGAAAATCTCTGATTAAACAGGGTCTGCTGTTTGAAAGTTGGGCAGTGGAGATGGTGGCAAGCTCTTCTCAAGCCAGGAAGTTAGGTGTGCTCTTCTGTTCAGGTTGGTTTGTGTGCTTTACCATGTGCAGTAGGTAGAGGCTGAAAGGGAGCTTGATTCCAGTTTGGTGACTGATGCAAACACACTGTTTTCTTCCTATGATGTTTATTATTGCAAGATTTTTAAAGAAGTAAGAGTTGTAAATCCTTATGGCTATCTACTTGACTGAGTCTGAATTGCTTTTTCTTAGCCATGGGTGATCTCATGTGATATCATTGTGTCATGCCGCATGTTTTGAATTTTATGGATGGATTTTAAGTGTCATTTTACATTCTGAAACAAAACCAGAGTGTTTTTTGCTTACTTGTCTTGTGGTTTGGGGGGATTTTTTCAGAATCTTCTAACAACAGTAGCTATTCTTCTGGAAGCTGGGGCGTATGTGAACGTGCAGCAGAGCGGCGGTGAAACTGCCTTAATGAAGGTAAATTCAGTGTTTGCCAAAAGTATTTACTACTAAACTGTGTCAGAACAAACTAATAAAACACAAAACCATATTTGTAGAGTTCATTTGGGAAACATGTGCTGTATTTGAAATATAAATACCATTCATAGTTACTCTAAGTAGTGTCTTAATCCCTTTTTTGAATGTACTGTAATGCCTACACAGTAAATGCAGATGCCATCAGCATGCAGTGCTAAATGTGGCTCATCATCCTCTTCTGTTGTTTGGCTCAAAGAAGTGCAGATATGGTCTTTAGACTGAGATAATCAGATTGTCTCCAGGAAGAGAAAAAATCCAGAAAGGAAAATCTCTCATTTGAGTATTGCTGTGATTGACACTTGTAGTTTCTTGGGGGCCAGAAATAAAACAGCCAGTGTGCAATCTTCCCAGTGCCTGTTCTGCACCTTTACTCCCCCAGTCACAAAGGAAATTGTTTTTTTTTAAATTTTGCTGTAATGGGAATATTGTAAGACTCTTACAGCAGTCTGTGCTCTTAATATTCTTTAATTTATATAAGATGATTTCCCCAAAGTTCCCCTTTGGATAAACTTGCTGTATTTATATGTGGGCTGTTATGCAGTTTGTTTGCAGAAGAGGTTGCAAAAGCTTTTCTGTCCAGACAATGTGGTATTGTTTCTGCTCTACCCTCTGCAAGGCTTAACAAGCGTGGGGATCTCACATTTGCTCTAAAGAAAACAACACCTCGTTTGTGGTTTCCTCAGCCGTCTGGGTCCAAAATCCCTTCATAATTTGGCTACCTCCACAAACCTCAGTTTTAGCCTTCATTGTTTCTAAAGGTTTTATTAGCATTTGATGCACGGCTGTACATACTTTCTAATTGGCAGCCCACAGTGACTTATTCCAGATACTTGTTTTGCCACGTAGATACAAAGAATAGGGTCTTCATTTCCAGTAATTTACTGGAACAAGTTTAGCCTTGTGTGGATAAGCATATCAATGTGTTAATCTAATCACTCTTACTGAATCTTGGGACTTGGATCATTCTTTCTTAAAAAAAAATAATTCTTGGCACTTGATTCCTTTCTGTGAGGTGTTGTGGGAGTTTTGTGGGTTTTTGGTTTGAGGGGGGCAGGTGGGTTGGTTTATTTATGGGAAATCATGGATTGAAGGCACAGATAGAGGTTCAGAGACAAATTTCAGAAGTTAACTTCCGAAAGACCTTACGAAGATACAAAGTGCTCCCTCTTGTGCCTTTCCTTGATTTGTTTGAGTGAAGTGTTTGAAATCAAACGACCAAGAGCATGTGTTTGCATTCTTCAATGTAAAACTTTTTCTTACGCTTCCCTGTACTTTCCCTTCTAGTCTTTGCTTGACATGCCCTGAGATTCTTCCTGTAAGTGACAGTGGACACTTGGGCAGTGGGTAACGGTGACTGCCTAACATAGCTAAGTAACAGTCTGGGCAAATTCTGTTGATCTACTGCACACCCAAAGCACCATTTGAACTGAGATGCCTAGAAACAGGCACTTGAAAGTGTTACTTTAGTCATTCTGAATAGTTCTGCAGGAACATATTTGTTCAGGTGAACAATTGCAGGAAAATGTACAGTTACTGAACTCCAGCAGATTGGATGTTTTTCACAGAACTTTCAGGGTTTGCTTTATCTATTTATTTTTCTTCTAATTAAGTCTGCTTGGTAATGCTGAGTGTTGCTGCTTCTGTGGGATCAGGTGTGGAGTTGTGTTAGCATTCACAAAGCAAATACCTAAACTTGTCTTCTGAATTATAACTAAACTTGGATTTTAATTTGTTTCTGCAGTTGTGCTTGCTCTTATGTTATTCTCTGTTGTAGTGGGGTGTTTGTCATTGTTTTCCATCCTTCCATCTTCTCCCTTTCTCCACAGGCATGTAAAAGAGGGAATTCTGATATAGTGCGGCTTATGATTGAAAATGGAGCGGACTGTAACCTTCTGTCAAAGAACCAGAACAGTGCCCTGCTCTTTGCTAAACAGTGTAGTAACCCACTGGTGTATGACCAGCTCAGGAGTCATTTGGAAATGTGAGTAAACTCTACTTGGAAGTTTGTTCTGGTGAAGTTTGCAGTACTAGGCAGGTCATCATTTTGGTTTAAGTCAAGGGGAAGACAAGGAAATGTCAGGAGAGAAAACAGATCTGATTTGGACAGAAAGCTGACTAATAAATAATGTGAAATTAAAAGTAAGTGAGCTAACAGAATTAACATACATTTGTTTAAACACTGCTTTTTGCTTAAGTAATGTGTTCTGATCCAGCTTCATACTGGGAGGAAAGTATTGTGATGCAAGTGTTTTTAATGTCCTGTTAAGCTTCTCTGAGGTATTGTATCACTGCACTGTGGATCTGTCCTGAGCGGATGAAGTCTATAAGGAATGTTTCCTTATAGGAGGCTAAATGGAATGAAAAGTGCCGTAAGCATAAAAACTAATAATGATTTTTCAAATGTAGAAAAGTTGTTGAAGTGAGCAGGGGTAGCTGAAGTGGATAAATGGAGTATGCTGATGCTTCTAGGGAAGGAAATTTGGTACCTGCTTCTCAGCACATTGAACTTTGACACTCATTCACAATCTACTGCCTTTTCCAGTTTGTTTCCTATTTAATATCTGCCACCTTCAGTTTGGCTAATCAGAGTGCTGATTTTTGGGAGACCTTGACCATGTAAAGCCAGTGAAATGGCAGTTGAAATTACATACTGATAATTGCAAAGTGATGTCCATGGGTTATCACTGTGGCTATGTGTACTGTACAGGGAGTAACAGCTCTTGCATTGAGGAAGCTTCTAGACTCATTGCCTGAAAATACCAGTTCACTGCTTCTTGCCATTCAGAAAGGGGGGAAAATATAGTAGTAGTGGAGCTGAAAATAAAATGATTAAAAGATCAGAAAACAGCAGAAAACCGCCCAGAGCCATGAGACAGGTTCTGTGGTCCATCCTGTGAAATGATTTAGTGGTAGGTTTGAAATGGAGGGATATTTTTGCACAGAAAAACTGAATTATAGATCTCACTGTTGCAGAACGCTGTGGTCACAAATGCATGGGATTTGAGAAGGGATTAAGTAGATCTAAGGAGAGATGTGATTTGGCTGCAGCCTCTAGTTTTGGATGCCTCTAAATCAGATTGCTGGAAAATAGGACAGTGTACCAAAAACTATGTCTGTTTAATTTTCTATATTTAAGGCAGCTTTGTCTAGCAGCTGGTAACTAGATGGGCTTCTGGGCTTGCTTTGGCATGGCAGTTCTTGTGGTTTCTTTCCAGTGAAACACTTCAGTTTGAGATTCTGCAGATTATAATCTCTGATAGCAAGGCAGGGTCGTGTGCTCTAAATAGACACTGAAAAAGCCATAAAGCTTTGAGAGTCAGGACCTTTGCTGTGCAAAAGCATTTGAAACCCATTTCTGCCAGAACAGCTTTCTGAAGAGGATTGATTCCTCAGTGACCTGCTTGCCAAGGTGCCAAATACTGCTGGTTTATGTGGTTTCTCTTTGAAGGCTAGGCTGCTTGTTTCCACACCTCCCCAGCCCCTAAAACCAAGCAAAACTCCCACTTTGGTTATCCTGCTGGGAGTGTCACTGCTGTCTCACTGTGGTATTGAGTTTAACTGGGGACTGCAGTTTTCCAATAGCATTGCCAGTAAAATGATACTTACTTGTTTATGTTGAACTTGCAGTCAGGTTGATAACTCAGCCAGACTGGGCAAGTGGTGGTTTCTCTTTGGCTAACAGGTACATACTGATGTTTCAGGCATATCTTTCTCCATAGAAATCCTTCAAAATATGTGGCTAGTTGGATATGTTGCTTGGCTTTTTTAATCTGCTGTAGTGCATTTGTTTTACCATTTTATTTTTGTGGACCCAGTAGATGAATTTAACAAACAGGTTTCTGTAAAATGCTCTATTTACAAAGAATTGGAACCTGGGGTTCACCTGTGCATAAATGCTAGTGCTGAAGGCATTTCATTAATTCCTGAAAACTGGGAATCTAAAAAGATCTGGAATCCTTTTTATTGTGTATCAGCTCTCACTGTCTGTCTGGTAAAATACTTCACTGTGTGAAGCACAGGCCTCACTTGTTTGGTGTTTTAGGCTCTCCAGAGTGGCAGAAGAAACCATCAGGGATTATTTTGAAGCTCGCCTTGCTTTGCTGGAGCCAGTCTTCCCGATCGCGTGCCATCGGCTCTGCGAAGGGCCAGACTTCTCTATGGATTTTAATTACAAACCCCCACAAAACGTGCCAGAAGGTAAGGGGCTTGTTGTGGGTGGGGAGTTTGTTTGTTTAAAAACCATAAAACAACGTGGTTTAAGTGTGTCTGAAATCCTCTGTTGTGACGCTGCAGCCCATTGGGTTAATGATGCTGTGCTCAGGGAGCATAGGGAGAGCAGTTGTGTTGTGGGGTTTGTGTGCTGGGGTTTGTTAATGGCCACATACACAGCTGCTTTCTGTCCGTGGGTTACACTGCCTGAGTGACAGGCATGATAGGAAAGGAGTGGTTTACCTTAGAATTAGTAATTCAGGAACATCTTAATCTGAGTATACTGAGAAAAATTTTCAGTGGATCACTTTGTCATGTATGCAGCACCTCACACACTGGAGTCCTGGAGTATAGGCACAGCACTCTCCTGATACATAGTCTAGAAATAAGATCACTAAGAGGAAGCAGCATCAATCAACTCTGTTTTGCCCACAAACCCTTTGAAAAAGCTGGGAATCAAATCCCCAAGGTACTTGGGAATGTTTCTTCATTCTTTCAGGAATTCAGGTACTGTTCTCTGTTGCTTGTCTTAGTTGAGCCATTTTGACTGATACATCAGAGAAATATCTGCTGATACTGATTTGTCTCAAAGTAATACATCAGTGTGACTGTTAGATTCCACTTGAACTTGGATTGAAAGTGGTTGTGTCTGCCCAGTTTTCTGGTTGTTCAGAGTTGTAATGTAAGTCTTCCAGTTCTTGGTATCCTGTTTTATGGAATCAGCAACCCTAATACATAAACATAAGTTTATGTATTAAAAGAAAGCATTTCTGGGTATTTAAAGTTGCTGCTCCGTGGATTTCAGTGCAGTTCATAAGGATCTGTCATAGACTGGGCTCCATTGTCTGTTCTCTTACCACATTAAATTCCATAACTCTCTTTAGGAAAACCTAAACCCACAGAGGTGAACTGTGCTGGGGATTGCTGTTTCCATTTTGCCTTCCTTTCTACTAGCTACATGAAATGATTGCTGCTGCTGCTAAAAGACATTAAGTTGGTGACTAAGTCAGTTGTTTTCTGTGCTAGGATCCCCTGATTTAGGAGATGGATTTTTTTGCATGGTGACTTGATAATCCATTGGGGTTTTATATATACTATATAATGGGGTTTTATATATATTTGTATTTCAGTGTCTTCAAAGGTTCAGTGTAGGCAGTTCTAAATACTAGATCTCATTTCAAATTCAAGTGACTGGAGTTACCTTCCCTTTCAGGATCTGGAATTCTTCTCTTTGTTTTCCATTCAAATTTCTTTGGAAAAGATGTCGTTGCGCGGCTCTGTGGACCATGCAGTGTACAAGCTGTGGTTTTAAATGACAAATTCCAGCTCCCTGTATTTTTGGTAAATCTTTTCATATGACTGACTGTAAATCTGATTTATGAAGTCTTCATGGAGCAGCCTGGGAAATCTTAATTTGCCTTAATTTGGATTATGAGTATTGTGATGAACCATTTTTTTAATCATGATAAAGTTGGTTTTTAATGAAACTTTATTTTCTTTGTATATGGAGATAACTACAAGGTTTGCCTTGTGCTAGATTCCATAAAACTGTGTGACTTAAAAGGCATGGACAGAGTGCTGGAGAACCTGCTTCTAGGTGGTCCTGCCTGAGCAGGGGGTTTCACCCTTCTGTGGATTCTGGGGCTTGAGAATTGAGGGTTTGAGCAGGCTGGTGAGAGTTCTGAATGTAAAGCTGTGTTGCTTCTCAAGTTCACTCAGCCTCTCACATGTTTTTTGACCCAGGTTAAGTTCTTAAATACTTTCTAACAACCTGCCTCATATTTGTAATGATTAATTTCTGGGTTTTTTTTTAAAATCGATTAAATACATCACTGTGCACAATTTTAAAGACCCTTTGTTTTCTCAGTGGTTGCACCAAAGGTTCTCGGCAGTATACACAACTTTATTTGAAAAAAATGCATAGTGAGAAAGCTGTGTTCTCTTAGTCCTCTCACCTATCTCTTTCAGCCATATCCTGCTGTTAACTTTGTCCACTTTCTTTTTCCTTTTAGGACAGTCACTTTATTTATTCCTTCAGCCCTACTGGAGGCCTTAACAAGCTTTTCATACGGTTGGCAGAAGTTCCTGCTGCCAAGGTACAAAATGTTCTCAAAATTATGTGCATATTAACTTGCTGTACAGTATCTCTTCCATAGTCTAAATGCTTCCAGTTGTATGTCGCAAATGTAAAACTGAGCATTTCCACCTCTCCTCATCCTAGTTGCAGTCAGTTACAGTTCCATCCTGTGATGCTGCCAGAACTCAGGAACATGGCCAAGGGTCAGTTCTGTTGTAATTAAATGTTTTTCTGCTGCAGTCAGAATAATCTATGCACCAGGATAAACTGATGTTACAGCTAAACCCTTTTCCCCATCTATATGATGAATTTAATGACTAACAGATACATGGAGTGCCTTTTCTGGGTTGGTTATTTATTTTTTTTTTGCATACAGGTATTTTTGCTTGTGCTTTGGAAGTATTTACTCTGCTTTTAAATAGTCTGTGTAGTTTGCTGCATTTTACAGGTGCTTTGGGCACTAGTTCCCACTACATGTTGCAAGATGAATAACAGATCCTGGTAGCATTTATTTAATCCTTGGAGGACACACCAAGAAATTTTCAAGGTCTTCAGATTTAAAAGTTATACTCTTGAATGTTTTATTGTGCACCTTTTATTTTTAGGGTAGAAAGTCATGTTCAGATGGAAAGTATATGTCTGATTTTATTAAAGACTTTGTAATTATTTTTTGTTTCCTTTCTTGGTCGCTAGCAATCATGTTTCTTGTGCTATTCCTGCATTAGATGAAGTGTGTAACACAGTAGTTATATGTGAACAACCTTGATGTGAAACCTGTGTTTGCTTTTACAGGTAAAGCTGCTGATAGGAGCATACCGAGTGCAGTTGCAGTGACCTCCCAGCTGTGAGCACGCTGAATGGACTGACACTTCTTGGGATATACTTCTGATTCCTCTGGTCAGAGGCTGACAAAGCAGTTTGGAACTTTTTGGCACCACACTCCTAAGACCCAGTTCCCAGCTCACTGTCCCTCGTTGGCAGTCATATAGGAGTGTTGGAGAGCAGCTGGATGTGCTGCACTGGTGGGACAGGGTTGTCACCTTTTTTTACTTTGTACAGATGTAGATGTAAGTATTTGTGCCAATACATATAATTTTGTTTTTCTTTAACTTGTGGAGTCCAGACTGCATATTTCAGCTTTTCCACAATGTGGAATGGTGCATATAAGAACTATTTAAGGTAACTACGTGAAATTGTCTTTTTTCATAGAAAGATTTTTTCATTTGTAAACTACTATTTTCTACTTTCTCTAACGTTTCTATGTAAAATGCAGAACTGTCATATTCTTGAAGCTGTGGGCAGATATTACACTTCAAATCTCTGCATTAGATTTAACTTTGAATTGCTGAGGGCTGTGTTCTGATTTAAAAGTGTTCCTGCCTCCTGATGAGACAGCAGTTATGCTTTAGAGTGGTTCCCTTCAAACTAACACAGTGAAGTCTGCAGGCAGGAACAAACACGTCTGAACAGGCTCAATTCCTAGAAGGTCACAGCCAGGTCCTGTATCAGTGTTTCAAAGCTACTTTTGCATTGGGGAAGCGACTGGTGGTCTTACAGACATCGTAACTTTTGAGGTCTTAGGTGACATCTGGGAGAACAAACACAAGCTGAAAGTAGCAAACCAGAAAGCATTGCCTGCACACTGAAGGAAGTTGTCTGTAGACAAGAGGAGACATAGAGGATTTCAGATGTTCTCAGCCTGACAGATTGAGGACATGTCTTGTCCTTTAACCCAGAAATTCAGTTCCTCAGTGCAAAGAGCTGCTATCTTTTTAAATTATTATATTATTTAAATGACTCATTTTATCAGATGACAGCAGCTCCACAATGGGTCTGCGCTGTAAAATACATACGTAGTACTTCTGCATGGCATATAGAATATTTTTTCTCTGTAAATTAACCAACACCTTGAAAGGTAGGGGAAAAAAAGAAAAAAAAACCCAACCAGATTGTGCCTTTGCTGTTCTAGTTGCCATGTGTAGTTTACTTGCCACTATGTGCCTATATTATTAGCAAAACTATTGTGCATAAATTCTTGATGTATTTGTGTGCTCACCATGAAAATGGTGCAGATGTATGAACCATGCTTTTAAGAACTGTGACTTTTTCATACAAAGTTCAATTTACCAGTTTTTAAATCTTTCTTATTTAAGAGATGCCAAATCAGTAAGTAACCAAGAACATGATTTGTTTTCTGGAATGTCACATTAAGCTATATAAAACTAGAACAGCAACATGACATGCAAATATTCATTTCTGTTGTGATTTAGAATAGTGGCTTATCTTTTTCCAAACAGTATTGATGGGATGTTGACAAGTTTGGGTTTTGAACAGACTCGGTACCTCCACCTCTCTGATTACATTAGATACCTCACTTTGCCAAGCGTGAACACCTGAGATGCATGAAAAGCACTGGCTGAGAATCAGGTATGTCTCAGTCAGCACTTGGGACTTTGTGCACCTGTGATTTTAGTCACTGTGCATAACCCTGGATGATGACTAAGGAAAGGGAACACTCATATTTCCTTGTGTTGGAGTGGTAGTTTTGGTGTACTTAGCTCCTTCTTAGTTACTCTGGTGCTGTACCTGTGACAGCAGTGTGTGTTGTATGGAGCTTGTCAGTGGAACATGCTGGAGCTGCTCAGGGTGGGGACAAAGGGTTTTGAACAAATGTCCATATGCTAGTGATGCTGTTTAGAAACTGTTGTACAGTCTAATCTAAAATGTCTAGTAGTGCTCCAAGACTTGCCATAGCAAGTAGTTTGTTTTTCCCTTGAGGCACAGGGGAAGAGATGGAGGAGTTCTACAGCACATGGGAATAAAATGTGGGTTCATGATGCTTTTACTAAGGATGGATTTTGCAGCCATCTTTGTCTTTTAGTTGGCAACGTAAGTTCAGAATCCCTACTGAAGATTCATAAAAGGCATATGAAAAGCTGTTTGAAACTTTCAGTTTTTATTACATGGTCTTTATCCAACTGCTGAAAAAGGTTTTGGTGGACAAAGGATGGAGAGAAGGTAGCTACAATAAAAAACAGTTCTTCAGGCACTGTGGAGAAATACCTTGGGACATACTTGCTGTTTCTTTTTGCTGTCCTCAGTGATGGCAGGAGCTGCAGTTCCTATGAACTGCAATGGCAGCAAATAGTTCTGAGGGTTCAGGTTCATTATCGTCGACTGCTCCAGCACCAGTATGTGTGTTGCTGACTGTGTCACAGGTCTTGTGTGCTTTCAGCACCCCTTTTTCAAAACCAAGATGGGTTCTGAGCGCTCTGGATTTCAGAAAGCTGTTTCAGTATGTGACAGAGACAGACAGGGTGCAGCTGCCATCTGAGCCAGCTAGGATTGCTGCAGGTGCACAGGGACTGCACCAAAAGGTTCTGCTTGTCTGTACCTGCTCTAATTCTGTTACTGCCATTTGCCTTCCATGCAGTACTGGAAAACAGCTTCCTTAGGTCAGTCTGTCAGAGTGGTGGCAGCCCAGGAGCAGTGATGGCCCTGCATGATGCATTCCTACACAAGTGCCTTTAGTTTTGCTGGAGTCCATAGTGGAGTCTTGGCCTTTTAAAAGGGCAGGAGAACTATAAAGACTACATGTTTCTAAGCTACTGGTGCAGCATGAGCATGCACTGCAAGCCCATCAGTAAATCCTGACACTTGAAAATTCCTCTGGTTTTGTGTCCCATGTAAATGAGGAGAATATTTTTCAGCTTCTGAATTGGTCTTAAAGTGAGTGAAGGACAAAAGACAAGTTTGGAAAAAAATACTACAAGTAGACAAATGACACCAGAAATAAAGCTGAGCAGGACTGAGGCAGCAGGAAAAATTAAGGTTTTAAAAAGGGCCTCTAAAATCTCAAGCACAGCTGTGAGGAGGAAGGGGCCAGGCAGAAGGTGGTTCTTTTGGATTTCAAGTCAATGTTTTTCCACAGCAGAGTCTCCCCTGTCATGCAAGATAGGCAGCTACAACTGAATCTTTTCCCAAGAATTTCTTCACTGCTTCCTACATGATTAGAATTGTAGGGAACTCCTCTGGTTTTACTGTTGGCACTGGCTCAGTTGTAGTAATGGGTCAGACCTTCATCTTGCCTTGCTGGTCCTCTGGTGCCTCTGCTCCAAAGGGATGGCAGAGCTCTGCTGCTGAGACAACCAAACCTCTGTGTATGGGAACTGAAGACATTGCCACAAACACCTGGAAACTGGATTTGTTGCAGCTGTGTGGCCATGGGTCACCACAGCAGGAGGACAGCATTACCCATCTGTATCACAAACCCCCATTTCCTGATAAGTCTTGTTCACTGAACTGTTACTTGTAACTTGTACAGACTTTCCCTAGCCAAGGTGCAGAGAATATGAATTTGGGGAAGAAAAGCCCAGGTAGGCCTGTTACAACAGCTGCATGTCTTAGACTGAACACAGTCATCCACAGGGTGTAAAAGCTGCTGTCCCTGCCCCAAGCAGGAGCAGCCAGAGCCCCAGCCTGTGCTCCCACACATAGTTTGTTTTTCTCAAAAAGGCTGTCCAAAGCTGGTCAAGATGACCTTTCTGGAAAAGCTTTGCAAAATATCTTAAAAGCTCTGAAAGTTCCCTTCATTCCTGGGTCTGTCACCTCTACCATGTCAGTATTAGAATAGTTCTTTCTGTGAACAGCAGGATCAAGATCCCTAAAACCACAAGTGAACCCCCCAGACTGGGTCCCATCCATCCAAGTCTTCCTGAAACAAAATGATTGCCAGGAACCCCACAATGGTTCCACAGTGCAGAGAGTCCAAGTAAGTACTGACATGCACTGTTTTTTTACTTGTGGTATGATGCAACACTTCCAAACACTGAAAATGGTACAAGACTTCCACACTACTGTGCACCACTACGATGAGCCTGGCTGCATAGTCTCTTCCCCTTCTCTTACACAGCTGGATTAAGACCTAACGCCCAATCTCCTGTTCTCCAGCAGGAACAAACCCTGCTGCCCATTCCCAAGGCTACTATGCTCCAACCTCCTGAACCTCCACTGGCCTCCACAGGACTTGTTCCCATATCTATCCTGTCTTCAGGAGCCCAGAGCTGGTCACAGTATTTCAGCTGCAGTCTCAGAAGTGCTGAGCAGAGAGGACAGATTGCTTTCCTGGCTCCTGCTCAGCTGTGTTCTTCTGCTGGAGCTCAGAGTATTGTTGCACACCTTAAATCTTCACTTACCCCTCAAGCTCCAGATCAGCCTCTATAAAGCTTTGCAGCCAGTCATTGCCCAGACTGCACAAATACAGACATAACTTGTCTTCTTGCACAGAAAAAGGTGTCTTGACCCTTGCAGGCAGACATCACATTCACATTCTTCTGATGTATCTTCCCCAAGCTGTGGTGCTGGTGGGGGATACACCACCTTCTGCTGAGTCCCTTCTCTGATCTCAAACCACCTGGGGTCTCACAGGGCAGGCCTGTCAGCAAGCACAAAGAAAACAACTTCAGTGAGAGTGATCAGTTTGACCCTCTCCCTGTTCATCCAGGTGTGACAAATGTAATTACTGTTTCATTAGATAACATTATTCCTGTATCCAAGAGCACAGGGAGCAATACAAAGAGACTGATAACACCAAGGAAACAGGTACTAGCACAAAGGTCACAACCCCTGTTCAGTGTTCTGACAGGTGACAACACGATTATATTCTCACCCCATGGTCCTGGTAACTCCAAGGTGAGAAGCAGCATTTTGCACATCCTCATGGCCTAGCAGAAAGCCATCATCTTCAGTTCCCAGGGGGCACAGCCACCAGCACTGACTCCTAATGCAAGTAATGGAGAAGAACGTTTTCAGGAAGTAAGTATGATTCAGGCCTGAGGAGTTACAAGATAAGCTTAAGTGGTAACTTCCTTGAAAATGTACTTTTGTGATCAAAGTATAGCACACAATGAGACTCAAACAGCAAATAACAGCAATGCAGTTGGATGAAGAGCTGAGAAATGCCAGCACTTCCCCAGCCAGCCCTCCCCAGAGAGCACCTGGAACTGCAGCTGCCTGGCACAACAGTCAACTTCCCAGGGCATGTCCTGGTGTAACAGGAGTGTGTGCACATTTATTTCAGAGCTCAAGGAGGGAATGCACCGACACACAGTCCAGCCCTCATCCCTACAAACACTGCTCAGCAACAAGTTCAGGAAGATCCAACTGAGCAGTGCCTGATTCGGCTCACCCTCTCAGCCTTGTGCAACTTTTCCAGAGTTTGCTGTTGCATGCCCTGTCCCACATACAATGCAATCCACTCACATTTTATCTAATCTTCCCTCAATTTTTGAGGCAATT